GTTTGTAAGTTGTATCAAATATGTCATATTCTGAGATCATTCATAGTTCCAGTGACAGGTGCATTTGTCCTGCAGTTTACCTTCTTCTGACCTGCAGATGATCTGCTGCCCAACTGCACCAACCTTGGTTTTGTGGTTTTTATATTCCCATTGACTTGGGGAGACTATGAGGAAAGAAGAAGTTCTGATGCAAAGAAAATCTAATTGACACTGGCGCTTAGAGAGGATTTTCCATTATTTGTTCCTCTCGTGAAAGGAAGGGAAAGCACGTGGTGTGTCACTTTAGGTAGAGTCCAGCACATAACTCGTGTTGGGTCACCATGCACCTGCTTCCACTGCTGTAATCTTGTTTCTCATCTAATGTAATCACTTTAGAGTTTCTATTCCATTAATTGGTAATACATAATTATAGACCCATATAATGGTGTGCGATCCCACATCCAGCCCCACAACAATACACAGCACTTCCACGACTTGTCTTACATTGTGCAGACATCTGCGGGGGGTTCCTCTTGAAAGGTGACTTTTGGGTAAAGTTTGTCGATGTGAAGGGGAATCACAGCCCCAATGAGAACATCTCCAGTTACCAATATCCCGCTGTGAGCCAAGTCTGTCGGGTTACCATCTGAGTAGGAGACGGGAACATTGTACATAATAACAAGGTGCCAGAGCATTTGGTAGAGGTGGGGCATCAACCTGCAAAAAAATAAATAAATAAATAAATAACACTCCAAAAAGGACCTGTTGGTTTTCAAATGTGATAGACTGAAATGTTCTGATCTTTTTTATTTGCCCCAAAAATGATGTATTTTCAGAGTTTAATATTCTTGTACTGCCATCTTGGCTCTCACACAGCATTGAGGTGTAGACAGGTTGTCAATCACAATCCCAGGCATCTAAGACATGTTCTGAGGTGGTCAGGTGCAACTGAAAAAAAAAGTAAGACATGCACTAGCGCAGCGCAACGTAACACAGTGCTGCGGTGTGAACTAGCCCCATTCACGTGGATGAATGCCAAGTTCACATAAACTATTACATTGCAGCGTGTTATACTTTATTACATGCAGATACCATAATCTCGCCTGTCTTGCGCCATCATCCTCATGCCGCAACACTGCACTCCTCCACTGCGCCAAAAATCGACAAGCTCATTTGCTGAACCATTATTTGGTGCACATTGCGAGGCAGTAAAAAGAAAGTGCATTAGTTGTATCTTTCTTTCCCAACCCTTCAATTGTCACTATTACACGGGGGGGAAAACAGTTCTCCGTGCACCAAATATTTGGTGCACCGAAAATCGTTTTTCTGACCACAAATCTTTACCGGCATAAGAAGACCATCTGCTGACAGCGGTGTGTGAGTAGAAATCTGCAGACTTTACTCTCCCAGGTGATACAATGAGACACATTTTACACAGCACAAGCTTGTCATTGTGATGTCTATATGACTATAGTATCACAGTGGCCGTGTCTGTGGAAAATAGCCGATACTTGGCATAAGCGGTTGGATCCAAGGAGCGCAAAGTGCTTTACAATATGTGTTTTATTTATTGCCGGATCACACTATAGCATTGCACTAAAGATACAAAGTCTGTGCACTTACGGCACGCTATCGCACAATGCAATGTACTGACTGCTGGGTGTACTGGTGCCTTGCGTTGCCATTCATTCTAAATGGCGCCCTAATACAACGGTACCACAATAGAGTGTGTTGCTGGGCTGTGTGGGGAAAAAAAAATAGGGTATGCATTTTTTTTTGCTCATGGTTTTGGGGTCCTGTGCATTGCAACACACTCCTGCTGGGAGGTGCATTGGGGTGACTTTCAAAATGAATGTCAATGCAACACCCCAGCATGCCTAGCTTGTGATGCACTGTGCTGTGTGATTGAATGCGTTAAATGCACAGGCTGCATCTGTTTAGCGCAGCACTATAGTGTGATTCTGACCTTGATGTGAGTGTGGCTGCACTCTGCACACCTGCTGCTGGTAACACTGTTTCTCCATACAGAGTAATAGAATACCGTAACTCCGCATGCACCTACCTCATTCTGTCCATCTCCCCTGCGCTGCATTCACTGACTGCCCTTTATATGAGATGTATACAGGTAAACAATATCACCCCCTCCCTCTCCTAATTACAGTCCATTGTGGTTACCTGCTCTTGTTCCGGATAATTACCAAGGCCCATGTGCATTTCACGCCATGAGGACACTTAACTTTGTATTCTACAATGGATACAATGATTATCATCTTCTGAGTTATAAAAGTTTATTATCCTTATAACAATGAACAAGGGATACGTTCACATTCTAAATCTGCTTATGGGTAGAGGGAAATGTAGCTGGATTTTAATGAATGTAATTATAAAAATACAGTATATAATATATATATATATATAATTTTCTTTTTGAAATGTACAACTTTGCAATGCAATGTTTATAAATCTGATGTTTTATTTATTACAAGCAAATATTGACTACATAGTGCATCCCTGAAACTCAGTGTACCAAACAAGCAGTCTGCATGCCTAGAGGTAACTTGTGTATAAATGAATAGGCTAGATGGTCCCATTTCTGCTAGGAGAGACGGATAAAGTGTCCCTCTCACTTGAGCTATTCAGCAATCTGTGTAATCTGATCTCTCATGCTGATCAAGACTGTTTTACCAGTTCTGGTTTGGAGCTTGCCACCTCCTGGATACAATTATTAACTATGGGATATATAAGGGCTGCCGCTATAATTAGACTCAGGCAGCATCTCTTTGGATCATGTGGGGGTAGGGGGGGAAGCAGAGTGGCATGGCTGCTCTGTTGCACAATGTTTGCAGTGCCTGCTGTCCCCTTTCTTTAAGTAGTAACAAGTAGTAACTATGGCATATTTGCAGGGCTGCCCCTATAATGAGACTGTTGCCTCAGGCGAAATCTCTTTGGGTCATGCGGGGGGGAGGGGGCAGCAGGCAGAGTGGCGTGGCTGCTCTGCTGCACAACATTTGCAGTGTGCCTATTACCCCCTTTTCTGGCCAGAGCTTCCCAGGTTGCTAAGAGCAGAGCGGGGAGATGTGTAAGGGCCATATACATCTCCTGCCCAGCATTTAGCAACCTGGGACGCTCTGGCCGCATCCTGCTCAATTCCTGAGGCAAGTCCGAATCTGTGCAGTAAAATGTGGTACAATTAGGGATGCTGTTCAAGATAAAGTGCATAGGGTAAGATTTTTGTATGGCTTGTACTCACTGGCAGGTCTGTTAAAGTATATGTGAACCCTTGTGGTAGGAAAATGCTGTGCATCTGGAGAATATGAGGGTGGGGAATGGAAGTTTCCTCATCCTTTGTTACATTTTAATTCTGCTGATGTCCTGCAGCCTTTTACAGCCTGTCCACATGCACTACCGTGATAACAGACTGCATGTGTTTTTTCACATGGCATATTCCTAATTGCTGCTGGCTGCAATTTATTTTATTCACACGCCATTTTTTTAAATGGTAACAACAGTGGAATATGCCGGGCCTATAGTTTCCTTTGGGAGAGCATGTAACTTACAATAGACATGTGTGATTAATTTTGTTCCAAAATAAAACAAGTGTGCACCCCCCCCCCCCCCC